CGACGTTTGTAATTTGTAGGCAAAAACTGAAAAATTTTATGGCTGTCTAGCTATGACAGCTCTGTTTTGACTCACCTGGTTTATATAAATTGCCACTATTATGTAGATTAACATCTTTATCTTTTTTGTTTTACTGATGCAAGGCGAAAAGTGACAACTCTTATTATTGCGTGGGTGGTTGCTTATCTGATGAATTTTACTCAAAATAGAGAAACAAACACCGTTTCGAATCGATTTGGCTCAATCTTAAATAATGAGCGTTTTTTAACACAACACATGTCGAAATTACAAGATTAATGGTCGGAAGCTACTTTTGAAAAACTCCGCGTGAAATGAAGAATTCAACAAAAAATTGGGTTTTGTTTTCGAATGATTTTTTTAATGTTTTTTTAATAAAATTAATTATCTCTATTATTGTTTTTTTGTTTTTTTTTTAATTACATTGAAACAAACTAGCAAATAAATTTATAAGTAATAAATATACTTTTTTTATCCAGAAATGTCACAAAAGTGCCCACTTTTACTGATACTGATATATTACTGCAATTTTGTAAAACATATTGTTATAGCTAAAATAACCAATAAAATTAAAAACCTTATTGTTTTTAAAAGTTTATAAATTAAACAATTTCCATTTTTTTCATAAATCTTTTTTTTGTCTTCAACAATTTTTTCTTTTTCATGAGGGTTCTTTTTTTACCTTTTTTAGTTTTGTTTTTTTTCAACAGCCGTACTCTCTTTTTCTTCAGATTTCTTCCTCTTTCACCAATGAGTATAAACGTTATTTTTTAACTTAAAAACTTAGGAAGTTGAATAGTCCAGAATTTATTATAACATTTAGAAAAATTCTAGTTAGTTTATACTATATTAAGAGCTATTTAATTCAATTTTTGATTTTTTTCAATCGGGCCATATTTAAACATTCTATAGCGTCTGCCATTTTTTAAGAAATCACCCATAAAAATTTATTATCTCTATTATTGTTTTCTTTGTAATTGTTTTTAATTTCAATAAATAAAACTAACAAATATAAATTAATAAGTAATAAATATACCATTTTTTATCTAGTGACCACTTTTACACAGTTTATTTTTAATCACACGAAAATCTATATATGTACTATATTTTTGTAAATTTTAACTTCTTTGTTAATACAATAAATAAGAAATTGGTTTTTAAGCAAAAAATATACTGTGATAAAAATATACTGCATATTTCCAGTTTTGATTACGTGATTTTTGAACTTCTATTTTCATTTTATTAATATTCTCTTTTTTACTTCGAAATTAAAAAAAAATACAATAAAAACAAAATCTGAACAATAATATTTTTGCTTCCTAAATTAAAATGTATTTTTTTATTTCTAAACACCCTGAAAGTGTGGAGTTTTAGAAATAAAGCTCAGAATTTCTATTAAAAGTTAAAAAACACAAATCTTGTAAAATAGTAATGAATTTTTTATTATAGGTACAAATTACAGAAAAGATAACTAATGTGAAGCTTCTTGAAATGAAAAAATTAAACAAGAAATCGTTTGGTGTAAATTGCAGTTGATTAAAAAAAAATCTACAGCGAATTGTTTTTTTAAATCACCCTGTATATTTAACAAGCTATTTTTTGAAAACTGCTTTGTGATCAAATTTATGTCATTCCACAATAATTTTAATTAGTAAAATGATAAAACTAATAAGAGAAGCAAACTAGAATTTTAATAGAAAAAAAAAAACAATA